GATCCGTCTTCGCGACTCGTTGCGCGTCTTCTTTGGGAGTGGCTAATCATCACCACATGTCTCTGGTATGTATGGCGTGGATCATTATATGAATGGCGTCATAAGTCTTACATATGGCAAGTCATTCGTCTTTGACAGAAACGTTCGTTTCAATGTATTATGTGACAACCTTCCAAATGTCATCATGGTTGTTCAGTCTATCCATAGAGAAATCGCGATACCATATCTCTACTCTGTGTAGACAATCATCGAACAAATAAACTATTTAATAAATTCTTATGGAGACGTAAGAAACACATATGTAATAAGGTGGCAGAAACTTGTTATTGTACATGACATGTGACGAGCGTGAATATATGCATGTCCGTTTGCCAGTAAAAATTGGTTAATACGTGAACAAATTATATGTCATTCATTTTGTAAAAACTATGGTGATCAATACTAGGAATTAATGCTCACACTATATAACTTGTTGGCGAGACGCCGAATTCTGAATTTAAGGCTAAGTTTCGTCGGTCTGTCACGGTCATATATTGTAAGTGTTTCAAGATTTTTTATCCAAACATTAACATATATCATGGAAATATGTTCTAAGAATTTGTGGCAAACACATATGTGATTTGTTCGTCATGTATCACCGTTCAGGTTCACAGGTGACAGTCAACGTTACCATAGAAACCGATGGTCAAACATGGATATGTATATATATATATATAGTGCCAATATATAAACCGAAATTTGACTTTTTCAGGATAATAGTAATTGCAATTCAGACATATTAAAATTGTGGAAGGTTTATTTGATTTTAAACTTAGTTCTTCGCTTGATTTTGTTCAAAATCGAGACAAAGACAGGATATTTTATGGTGTTAATATGCATGTGTTTTGATTTGATAATGTTTGTTTAGTTGATGTCTATATAGTTATATTTCTTAAAATTATTACATTTCCTATAATTAGTCATCGATCAGGGGCGGATACAGGATGTTCGGTTAGGGGGCGCACCTTTTCAATGACGTTATTGCCGTGTTGTATTATGGGATATACATGTATGAGTAACTACAGCGTTAGTATGAAAAGGAGGAAGTCTCATGTTTCACACTTTCTAATGATCATTCAACTCATTAAAATTAATTGAGAATGAGTCCCTAGTACGATCTAACATTAATATCAAGTCAGTAAAAAAACAAAATATTTAGGATTTGATCATTAGAATATTTGAGTCCCTAGTCTATATCATGGAATTGAATTAGTACGATCTAACATTAATATCAAGTCAGTAAAAAAACAAAATATTTAGGATTTGATCATTGGAATGTTTTGGAGTAGCTAACAGAGCTGAAAAAAAAATATTTGAAGAGGGAACAATTCTTGTAAAAATAAAATCTGCAGGGATGACTAATAACTGAAAGGTGATTCTTCACGCCTAACTCTTAGTAAAAAAACAACATTCCTTATAGTGTATGAAAAACACAGAAAAAATACTGTGAAAAAAAATCAATACAGCAAAAAAGACAGTGAGAAAAAAAAATATATATTTTTTTTTTCAAGTTTATGTCGGTATTGTCACTTACTACTTACTTATCACCGGTCACTGCTTAGGTAGTTTCTAGCATCATGTGTGTGAACTAAATTTCATATTATTTTCAATGATCAACGTAAGATGGCAGCTGCCTCATTTGTCCTCCCGTTGTACTCAGTTGAAAATGTAAAAGCCCGGAAATAATGATTTGTTTTAATTTTAAACTCCCCGTATTTCTGTTCACTGAATGATGGTGCCTATTGTATTATTTGGATGACCTAATTATCGCCCGATTTTCTTAATTTGCAATTTGAATTCCTAATTTTGAAACGTATTTAGTCTTTCCGATTTATCAGTAGGATTGTCACTCGTGTTAAACTTCTTGAACACTGCTTTCCTCTATATCCAACAACCAACACTGATCCGTTGACACAATTTCTACTATATTAATTAAACATTGCCATAGAAATCAAAGATGATCCAATAAAGATGTTTTTGAAACTTACAATTAAATTAAAATTAAATTTCGGCATAGTCGGGTCAGTTAATCAATCTCTCCTGTCTCGAATTTCAATCCCCATCAACCAATCGAGTTGTTAGCGCCCTTTTCTTTAGACCACGCTGTACATGTCCAAGTATGATATGGTCATGTGATATGATATGTCAAGTTTGAGTTACTAATAGCTGTATTAGATTCTCCAGCAGAGTAGAGATGTGGTTATTATATATTGCACGCTCGGTAGGGGTTCCCTGTTTATTTAGTATTGAAATTAAAATTACCTATCAGAGGTTCACTTTTATTTCGTTGTATTTTCCCGTCGTGACAGCGTGCGTCGGTAAACATAAACTGAGCGACTGTAATTGCGAGTACGGGTCAGAACTCCCCATCCATTTCTAAGAATAATTACACAAAAACAAGACTTTCATTTTGAGAATGTGTGCTCGTCTGTTTGTAGACGGTGGCAATCAAGTCTCAACTGGAATGAGGCTGGAACATGGTGAACGTCGGTATGGGGGTCGAATCCGTCCAGCGTTTTACCCTGCTTTCCCGTGTACTATAAATCCGAACACGGTCCAGCGTTTTACCCTGCTTCCTCGTTTACCATGATTCCAAACACGCGCACAGCGTTCTACCCTGAATCCTCGTTTACTATAAATATCCCACCCCTCTATCCCTTTCTCTGCCTTGAAGCAACATGCTAGTACTGGTAAAGCATATATTATCTTCTCTTCGTAGTAGACTCCTTGGCTGTCATTAACTAAATGGTCTATCCTTATTTGCCTCACTTGACTTCAAATAAATGGCTTTAAAACCCCTCAAAAAACAACGTCTTAATCGATGTGTGTTTTTTTTAAAATTGAAAGCAATTACGTACGCACATTGCGATGGCGTGCTACAGAATGTATCGTGTTGTACCTTTGAAAGCTTTATAATAGTGTTATTTTATTTAGAGTATATATCTAATACTATCGGTGTCTATTTGACCAGTTATTCGTATCAAAGAAACGTTTATATTAAATAATTCTTTATTATATATTTTTACAGTGTATTAAATAATTTGTGTATTGACTATATTCATTGTAAGTACATCTTTACATTTTCCAAACTACTGCATATCAAAAACAATAACGTCTTTGTTTATGAATTATGTATATACTATGCATGACATCATTGGTGATAAGATTTTGTTGATGTGTTAAAACTCTTTTGTTACATAATACACGGTGCCAATGATCTTACGGAAATTATTTATTAGTCATTGTGTGTGTACAATGAATATGTTTCCATGACAAAAAGTCGATTGGCCAGCATTTATTTTCATTATTTGGGCAAAAATGCAAAATATCTAATGAGGCGTGGTCACCGTACACAACGAGAGTACGTCAACGAGAACTGTCTCTGAATTCCGAGGACAGCTTTAAAACTAACTGCGAACAAAGTGCGTCAGTGTAGACTTATACCAGTAAAAAAAAAACCGCGATGACAACTTCCGGTCTCAGTATACAATTGTAATACCGTGTAAAGTGAGGCGCTATCGAGGTACTATGGTAACGACCGTTGCTAAGTAATTCAATGTTTTTAATAGAGAGTTATACATATCGACTAGTGCATTGACCATGATTTGAGCAGCGATGCCCGAGGCCGTCACGGTGGAAACCTATGTTACAATCATGATTTATTTTTTTTGGAAAAATTCAAAGTCAATCATTTAAAAAAAAAACGAAGGCACTACTTTACTCGTGGCTAACTCACGAAAAGTGGATGTTCGGATTTACAGGGAAAAGGGTCTGCTATAATTACCGATCGCCTTTGGCGGATAAATCATGTACTTATCAACGAGCATCTACTATCTCGAGTGGCGTGCACAAGGAGAGGTGCATCTTACAGCGTTCTGAGACCATGACATTTTCATAACCTGTTCCAAATATCCTACATACATAGGCAATCTGTTACAGACCAAATTTGCATCCCCTTGAAAGCTCTTTATCGAAACCATTGGTTTAAAGCGTATGTAGGATAGAAATATACATACGAGCGGCTGGAATTATAGTTATGATGTGTATTTCCTTTTGAAAACATGTGGGTTTTTATTCTCGGAAGTCAATAACAGTATAACACTTATTATTAATCGCGTTAATAATTTTAGTTGATGATTCATACGTCACAGATACTAAACTACCAAGTGCTTGATACGGTCTATATCCTTTGTCGATAATGACGTATAATATTAAAATACGTTATTTGGGGACATTTAGACGTCACTGCTTCAAGTACATGATTCATGAGAGAAATGTGTTTATTAATGTCTAATATAAAGCGGATATACACACATATCTTAATTTACTACGAGCCCCATTCATCGACTAATGCAACTTGGTTACATCATTTCCTGTGGGTTGGAAATAAAAATTGTCTTGCTCAAAATCAAGTAGCAAGGCTTTGTAATTTATTGATCGATTGAGAAGACCACGTAACATTGCTTCTTCGTGGTGATTAATGCATTGCACCTTGGGAATTATGTATTGCAAAATATGATTAGCTTATATCAAATAATCATCATCGTCATCATCATTAGCACCATCATCATTGAGATACGTAAATAACCTGCGGCTATATGTATAACACGTTGTACGTACACTCAAGTCAACAGCGAGGAGTTGAAATAAGCGTGGGACGCACGTCAACCATTTAGTTCTGAGCCCCCCGGATTACACTCGTGTTTCCACTGGGTAATAGAAAGTTGCGTCATAGTATTTATGTTTGTCAACTTCTCCGAAGATATACGCGTGTCAAATTTTTGACGACACGAAGGAAGTCGGGCAATTTGTTTCCACTCTGTCGTGTCATTTGTGTGACTTCGCGACATTACCTTTATAAGAGTGGAGCGGAAGAGCTTTTGGGGCTTAACGCACGAACTGTCACTAAAGACTTTGATCTATCTCATTTCCATAGGTCTCTCCGCTGTCAAGTATACAGTATGTACGAAAACTCTGTTCGCCTTGCTGCATGCGTTGTGCTGCTATGTTTTGTTCTCCCCACGGCGGTATACACCACGGACGGCAGGCTGGTGCGTCATGTTGAAGACTTGTCGCAGGAATTCAATTCTTTGAAAATTGAGTACTTGAACATGCTGCGAAAAATTGAAAAATTGGACGTTACCCTAGCAACGCAAGATGAAGCTTTACAAGACACATGGTTCAAGATGGGTAGACTAGAAGAGAAGGTAGATCGACAAACCTCGGAGTTACAGGAGACAAAGGCTACGATAAAAGAGCAAAAAGCTAGAATCGACTACTTGGAAGAGGTTGAAAATACTCGTAGGCTCATGCATTACGGGAATGGCGGCGGGTTTACCCGGAGCAAGCCCATGCGACTTCACAGGCCCGAAAAAAGAACGAACGTTATGAGGGAAGTTGTCAAGAAACAAAACACCGGTATGAAATCACTCAATGTTATTTCTATATATGTTTTAGTTCGGCCTCACGCCGTTGTTTCATGCCCTGTAATATATTGCCATAGGGTAAAAATGATTACTTAATGGAACTGACCCGACGTATTATAATTTGAACGAGAACAACCTTTGACACGCTGACATTGGTTAATTATTGTCACAAAGAATGATGTGACTGAAGGTGTACAACTTGCTATATGAGAAATATATTTGTTGTGATATAAGTTGTACTACACATAGTAGAAGGCATGTCTGTGATACGCCACTCAAAGAAATAAGGAGTCAGGTGACACAAGGATACTTCTTAATATACCTGCAAACAATCTTCAAAAAAAATTATCAAGATAATTAAACCATCGTTTAAAAATAAAACGATTTGTAACATGCACTATTGGTTATGCGGCAAATGGGATGATAACCATCTGTATATTTTTAACGAAATCGATGTGAATTTGACGTCAACAAAAAAGCCAATCGATTCGAATGATTCTCCTGATGATATGCCGTTTAGTACGGATTCTACAGTCTCGCTGTATTCTGTTTGACTTATCGGTCTTCAATAAGCATTGCGGAAATTACTTTTTTTCTTTATTTTACATCCAATTTGAATGTGGTAATACAATGACAATTAAATTTTAAGAGAGAAAAATATACGTCAAATTCGCGGCGTGATTAAATAGAAACAGTCACGCGGTGTAAATCCATTGACAAGTTCGTGTCCGTGATTGGATGAAAACAGTCATGTGATGATTTTCATCAAAGTACTTGTAATTTAGCTTTGGGTGTACAAAGCGTCAAGTTTTAATCAAAATTTACATTGAGGGGTCGTCACGTGCCCCGACAGCATAAGACGTCATCCTTTTTCTGAATATCGTCAGTAAAACGATTTCTGAAGGTTACATTAGAAAGCCTTTAAAGTACTTATTCCGGTGTAAGATGTCAGTCGAGTCATTTCAACACAACTGAGCAGTCGATGACGTTTGTAGCTTATTTGAAGATGTTGTATTTTTAGCTTCAGTAGAACTGTCGTCTTTTTAGCCTCGTTCTCAAGTATGTAGTAGTAGAAGGCTCAGCACCCTCCTCTCCACCTCCTCCTATTCCAATTTCATCCCCCCGGGTAGAGTATGTTGATGGATGAATTATGATTTATCACGGACGAAACACGGTGTTCTTGCAACACATTAATAAGTATTTGATCGATTTTCAAATACGCATGCGCATTGATTGTTTTCTGTGCCTACAATAGCAACCATAGCACAAACGTAATAATATTATTTCATTTTCCATCGAACGAATACTGTTGTGCATGTCACAAAAGCACTATTTTATTGTATACGACAATTCGTCAAACAATAATATTTAAAAAATTAAGTTTCCATCCATATTGTAACTTTAAAACTAAGATGGGTACCAATGCGTAAATCAGTAAAAGACAGATGAATCCAAGTCCTGATGTTTTTCTTCTTTTATTCGTGTACGCGACGTATTGTATGTAAGGTTGTCGATTTGCTCATAACATATACATGTACTATATGATTGTGTTATGAGGAGAGCGATGTAACCGGGGTAACGCATAACTGAAGACATTAAAGAGGTTGTATACTACTACAGAAAAGCATATTATATGATATGAATTATGTGTTGCGTTTCTTAAAGATGTTATGGTTAGTCTAGTATATTACATTTTGTATGGGATCAACTCTTGG